GAGATTTAATTGAACACCTGCATTTGAATTAAACACCTGCGCTTGAATTGAACACCTGCGTTTGAATTGAACACCTGCATTTGAATTAAACACCTGCGCTTGAAATGAACACCTGCATTTTAATTGAACACCTGCGTTTGCATTGAACACCTGCGTTTGCACAGAACACCTGCGTGAAGAGCCGACTTATAATATGGAAGAAATAACTTAAAACTTTTATAGAGATGTATTTTTTTAAATATTTTTCTGAGTAATGAAATTTTATTATTATTTATTAATGTGTTTTTCTATATGAAACTTGATTCAAATCTAGTAAACTCAATTATGGAATGGACTATAAATCACGTCTAAAAGAAAGGAGAGAAAGAATAAAGAATTCTTGTTAATTTGAATCCAGATCGAATCCTGCTGGGGTCCTGCAGAATCCGTGGGAGTCTTTATTGTTATTGGGTGAAGAGATTTATGGCTATGGGATATTTCATCGGAGTGTAGCAAAAACGGATTAAAGCAGGTTTGGGGCGTCCGTTAAGTTATGACTCTATTAAAATAATGGCCGGAGGGGCGTGGGGGTTCGGAAATAGTGCAGAAGCTCGGCCTCGGCCAAAGGTCATTCTATTTCCGTGCCTAATCTAAAGATTTTTAAAACCAAACATTTGCGAACAACCACCGCTGCCGCACGGCAACAGGATTAATGATTCCTGCGGGTTAGAAAAAGAACGAACCCTGCAAAATAAAATAAAAGAGGGATAAAGAAAGAACAAGTGTGCCTCGACTTGAGACATTAATGAAACACTTTTTCTGTGTGTGTGCGTCAAAGTGTGCGTATTTTGGGGTGGAAAGGAAAGGAGGGTTGAATTACGCAAGGAGATAATCCCATTTAGTCGGGCAGAAGACCGGAACGAAGGACGCAATTATGGAAAAAGGACATGTGTATTTAAAGGACGAGGGCGGTGCGAAGACAAAGACGATTCCACTCCTACAGACTTAATTATACCGTCGGGTCGGGTATTGTGGAGGAAGACTCTCCTTCTCCTCATTTTCTTTTATATAGTCTTACTATTTTCACCGGGAGACGCTCTATTGATCAGATGGGAATACTTTTTTTTTTGTTCCCTTCTGTTCCACGTGGCAAATAAATTTCCCAGCCCTGATTAACGGGCTCAACGATAGGGCACGCAAATTCCACTAAATTCTAATTGAATTTGAAGCACTGAACATCTGCAGTTTTACTTTTATTCATTAAAAATTTGAATTTTAAAAATAAAACTAATCTTACTATGAATTATATATTTATAATTTTTTTTAGCAAGTAAATTTATTATCTTTAACTAACAAATGCATCAAAGAAACTAATAATTCCACTAAAATCTAATTGAAACTAAATAAATGTGAAAAATTGATATTACCAATATTCATTTTATTGTATTTGAATTTAAATTTCTCACCGTATCAAGAAAGAAAAAAAAAATTCAACAAAGTTTTAAGTGATTCTTGTGGATCGAACATTTATAATAACTGACTTTCTATGTATGTTTCTAGAATTACATAAAACTATACTTTTTTCATGTTGAACACCGGCGAAACACCTGCGTTTGAATTGAACAATCAAATCTTTAATTATTTTCACTTTTTTTTACAAATTTTACAATTTTGTAATTTATACTATTTTTTTAGGAATAATTGAAAGAAAAGTTTATAAATTTTATACAGATGAATTTTTTTAAATATTTTTCTGTGTAATGAATATTTGTTAATGTGTTTGAATTGAACACCTGCGTTTGAATTGAACACCTGCTAAACACCTGCGTTTGAATTGAACACCTGCGTTTGAATTGAACACCTGCGAAACACCTGCGTTTGAATTGAACACCTGCGTTTGAATTGAACACCTGCGTTTAAATTGAACAACTGCGCTTGAATTGAACACCTGCACGAAACACCTGCGTATGAATTGAACACCTGCGCTTAAATTGAACACCTGCATTTTAAAAGAACACCTGCGCCAACAGCCGACTTATAATATGGAAGAAATAACTTAAAACTTTAACAATTCTAGAAATTAAGGATTGTTCAATTGAATTACTATTATTCTTGTAATTGAACAATTTCAATTTTAATTTCCTTAAATTCCTAATTAAAAAACAAAACTTTCAGTTCAATTCAATTCAAATATAAAATATTCTATAGTAGATTAATATGCACTTGAAACTAAAAAGTTTAACATTTGATTTTTAATGTCATATTTTTTATTTACAATATTTCAGTAAAAATAATGAGTAAAATTTTATAGAAATTCATCGTATAAAGCAAAACTATTCTTTTTTGGTGTTTGATTGTGTTTAAACTGATCTTTTTTGTATACTTAATAATTTGTTAATATATTTGAAACTTGAAAAGAAATCATATGATTTTAAATTCTGGGACACAATAAAGAAGAAGGACTTAAGCTTAATGATTTATTGGGACAAGAATTTAAGAAAAAACACGAATCACACTATATATCACACAACAATATGGTTCTTCTCATCACGCCCGAGTCACGATGATGGCCGCCTGCAAGCTTCCTCCTCGTACTCGATATTGACGATAACATCCGGCGGAGGTTCATCCGTACCCTCCAGCAGCATATTGATATGCCTACGGAGGTACTCATGGTTGTACGCAACGAAGAATCCACCCGAAAACCCGGCGAGCAGCGGTATTACCCAAGAAACAACCTTCTTCTGTTTAGCGCTCAACATCTGCAAAACCAAAAGCAAAAGAAAATTTACCACAAAAACCACACACACCGTCTCGTCCGAATCTCACGTTAATTTAAAACCCTTTCCGCGGAATATTGAACATATTGAAAACTGTCAAGAAGAATTTTGAAATTGATCGATCGAACGTCAAAACGCGAATCGTCAAAACGTTATCGATTATTTCGACAACATATTAACATAATAATATACAAACTTCATTAATAATTACAACTAACTAACGTTTTCTCTTTCATTCTTGTTTCAGTCACGGAAAAGGAAATCCGACAGTGGTAAGTCGTCAATTCTTTTCTTGTTTTTATTTCCCACGTCTCGTTATTTTCAAGGCTATAATGCGGTTTTATCTGTAGGAAATTTTTATATTTTCCGAGAGTCACTCTAATGTCGCGGAAATTGCAATCGGCTCACCTGGAGGCAATGCCGCATGAAATATGCATAGACTTATTATAATAATGGCGAAAAAGCATTCGCCGATTTGAATATTCACGTTTGCAATTTCCCACATCTCGCAGATGCAATACGTGAAACGAAATCGATTTTATTCATTGAAAAGAAACACTCTCATATTATTGTAGTTTCCAACGTACAAGAAAATTCAATAATAAAGAATGTAATCTTTCTGTTTCTTTAAAATTAACTTTTAAAGTAAAAACTAGAAAATTATTTGTATTTTATAAGAATATTTACGTTTTATAAGAGTTTCACATCTAAATAATTACATATAAGTTTATGTGATTGCAGTCAACAGGAAATCGCATGCTTTCGTTTAAATGCAAAATGTAAATTCGGCAACACGCGAGATCCGCTTAATGGCATCACTTTGCTCTTACCCTTCCGACCACTTGGAGAGAAACAATTCCCTCTAAAATCGTTAGGATGAGCAATTTGGGTCCTGAATCCTCGTGTTTCGTTTCAGGCACAAAGGATTCCTGAAGGACTGCCCGAACGGTCTCCTTACAGAACAGGTGAGTTTAAGCCTTAAATAACTTCCAATTATCTAAACTAACCTTTTCTTTCTTTTTCTCTGCAATTACCAGGGCTTCATCAAAATATACAAACAGTTCTTTCCGCAAGGAGATCCATCCAAGTTCGCTTCGTTGGTCTTCAGGGTGTTCGATGAAAACAACGTAAGTTTTTTACACTTTATTTCTCACTCTACTCTGTTTCCAATCTTCCATTTGTTTGCATCATTGTATCATATTTTTCTCTATATATTCATTGTCAGCTCAATTCATTTTCATATATTTTACTTTACATATCATATGATTCTGAGTTTGCTTAAGTCATTTTTGTCTCTTTATCAGTCTCAATACCATACCATATCCTATATAACTGTAATTTTTATACAAGATATTTAAACTTGAACTTGAACACTTTATTTCTACTATAGTATGGTTAAAGTTTAAACTGATTAATCGGCGGTTAAAGTTAAAGTTAAACTGAATAATAAATTGTGCGTCAGTGGTCTCGGATAGGAAAGCACTCGAAAACTATCAATAATCCCTGATGGATTGTTTTTGGGAGGGTCGAACGTAATAAATACATCATAGTCCGGCGCGGACTGATTTATATGCACGAAACTTGTAGTCCCGCTTTTATCATGTTGAATTTCCAAACACTTGTATTTCTTATGAAATATTACGTGCATGCATACTAAGAAAATAAATGTAAAACATGGATTTTTCTATTTATACATTGTCTTTTGCATTTTCTATCTTACATTCACAATCAGTTCATTGAGTAAATTTAAGATCGCGGTTAATCTTTCTCCGTGGATAGTTACCATTATGATGATCTGAAGAAGGTCCATATACTGAACCTCATTCATTTCACTTTCCATCTGTGATGAACGATGGCTCTATTACTGCAAGAACCGAGAGGGCTCACAAAGGTCCTGGCTTGATCAGGATTTGAACCTGCGCCCACTAGGTTATGGATAGGGCGACTTAACCATTCTGCTATTAGTCGCCTTATATAATATGTGAATAAATTTATTGAAAACATTCTAAAAAAAAATCAGAAATTAAAAGGCGAATTAATCTTAGAAAATTTATTGAAATCACTAAATATTTAATAATAAAAAGATAATTTCAGTAGACTGAAACTAAATCTGTATTCTCTTTGTGTATGAAATCTAATGAAAATCCATTATGCATAATTTATTCAGCATTTGTTTGAACAAGAACGAATGGGTAAAATCGTGGCCAGACAATTCGGCGCTAAATTCAATTAGATAATGCGAAACGATTGCATAATTTATAGCGCAATCCCGCGGTTAATAATGCGCATCATTTCGTTGTCGGAACAATTCGCTTGAAACGCGCACCGAATTTAATCACACTAACTTTCGCGAATTTGCATTTTGACCAGCCTCATTA